GCCCAAAGCTGCTGTTGTGGCATTCTTGGTTCTAGTGGAAACTGACATTTCAAACAATTTGCTATTTGCACAAAAAAAGAACATGCAGAGAGTCCAAAGTACATTCCTGGTTCAAGCATGTTGCAGTAATGAAAAGATGGGCATTTTATATTCAAAAAGGAGCAGCAAGCATGACAGCAGTTTGCAACCTAGCAAAGCATTTGGATTTATCTAGAGGGGAAATCTTAATTGTCACTAAATTTTCCAGCTAGGCCAGTCAGATCTCTGTGTATTACTGTACAGAAGAAATGAGATGAAAATGTTTGTATATTTTCAGTAATTGTTTAGACAACTATTTGGGCAACTGCTTTATTATTTACATGCCTGACTTATACAACTAATGTGTCCTGTAGGAACTACATAGGTTGGCATGGCTCCAAATGCCATGAAAGCAGATACCCTCTTAGCAACATCTCAGTAGGATGCTAACAAAATATTGAAGCAAGCAAAATGACTGCTGCCTCATATGTAACAGGAAATGGAATAGGTTCCCAATTTTAATGTTACAGATTGCAGCTGTCCCTGGCCTTGTTTTTCTAGAATATTATGTTTGCAGATTCCCACGCTATAACCTCACAAGCAGAGGAAAAAGGGGGCATCTCCAGGATTGTGCTCAAATTTTGGTATATGTATACAATGTGTGGCAAGTACAAGAAGGAGCCTTTTAATCTTATTATAAAATCTAGTTACAAGACAGAAGTCAATAATATGAAAATCTGTCAAGCTGTAACTGAGTTTTTTCACTTTTGCTGCTGAGTAGTTAGCCTAATAGAGTTATTAACTATATTTCAATTCAGCGCAACTTTTTCTCCTAGCTCTACCTACTATTTACTATGTTACTACTTAACATTCCTTCTGTTCTAAAGCTGTAGAAGCCATGCTAAGTTTGTGAAAAATAGACAAATCTGAAATTACAGTGTTAGCATAGTTCAATTAAGCCCTGGAGAGTACAGTGACATCTCTCATCTATTGGGACAATTTATAAGCAAAAAGAGACTGCAATAGTTTCCTCTCCCAACCTGATTGTCAGCAGATGGAAATTTGCCTTCTCCTATAAGAGTCCTCCACAGGAAATAGGATATCAAAGATGCCAAGTTTTTTATACATAAACATTTTATTATAGGGATATTTCTACCCATCCCAGCCCAACACCTTAAAAAACGGTATTGCTTTGCCCAGAAACAACTACTTACCCTGGTGTTTCTTCCTATGCTTGTTAAGAATATTGATTTCAAAAGGGAAGTTGCGTTTTCTTTTTCAGATCACCAGAAAGCTATAGTAAAAGTAATCTTCTCATCCTAAATTTATGTTAATTGTGTTTTATGTAAACAACATCGTGTTAATAAAACCATTTTGCAACCGGCTATGTGTGGTCCTTTGCATAACTTGAATTAAAAATGCAACTGGGCAGCAATACTGGCAATATTAATCTGTTTTTCTCTTGGCGTGTAGCCCTGATAATACCTCAAGGGAACGGAGTTCCTCATGCACATACATCAAGGTCCCCACCCTTATTTTTTTAAGCAGCCTTTCAGTGATAAGCCTGAGTTATAGTTTAATAGCTCTGAACTCCATTTAAAAAAGTAAATAAACACTCCATTGGGAGCTTTTTAAGCATTCTTGTCACTCTAAGTAAACTAGCTAAACACAATATATATTAACTTTCTAACATGAACAACCAGTAAAATCACAATAACTGAACAGTAATTAGGACTCTGCAAAACACAGTGGCAACCTCATCAGAGGGCAATTGTTCCATTTCCTCCCCCTGCCCTGCACACACTTTTTTTTAGCACTTCCTGAAATCTAATATTTCTGACATTTTACATGAAAGACACCATTCATTGGTGGTTATTGTTTAATGGTTCTTTAATACAAAGCACAGCTTACTACAGCATATGGTATGTGAATTAGCATCATTGCAGCTCTTTGCTCTCATAGTTTTTAAAGAATGCTGACTGCTATTCTTTATAACCACCAATTAAATAGGCTTTTCATGGCTGCATGGGAGCTTCCATTGCTGTCCAAAATCTTAAGTATCTTATGTGGCTGCATGGAAATTACTTACAGTATAGGTGTACCATAAGTACCATTAAGTCCACTTCTTTTAAGTTGTAGTACTTTAAGCTTATAGGATTTAAGCTTATAGGATTTACTGAGAGAGTTATTCTCAAGATGACATACTCAAGATGATACATTGTATTGTAAACCACTCGAAATTTAAGTTGGTATCTAAAAGCTGAATTCCTGCATCCTGGATTTATACAAATAAAGAAAAACTGCATGTATAGCATAGAGCATGCAATTGTTTAGAATCAATTACTTTCCCCAATTATGAAGACGGACATATTTACTGATGCTTCAAACACACCCTTTCTTGATGCCCAGAATTTGCTTAACTTTGGAATCCCAAAGGTGCTTTTTCAGGAAACAACTGGACTTTTTTAATTTTTTCTTTTGAAGACATTTTACTTCTCATCCAAGCTTCTTCAGCTCTGACAGGATAGTGGGCAATGGAAGGATTTGTATTCCTTGCAGACAATATGCAGAGAATACAAATCCTTCCATTCCCCGCTATCCTGTCAGAATTGAAGAAGTTTTTTGGATGAGAAGCGAAACATCTTTAAAAGAAAAAAGAAAAAGTCCAGTTGCCTCCTGAAAAAGCACCTTTGGGACAACATGACCTAGATGACTGAGAATCTCTACAGACTCTTACCTTTGGAGATTTCACCAAGCTCCATATTCAAGCATATTCTTACAGGTATAGGAGATGGTAACTTGATAGATTTATAAAGTCAACATTTTCACATTGTTAAATCTACTTTCTCCTTTCCCACTGTCTTATGCTGTTAAATCAGAACTATGAACTACTGCATTTTTTCCTACGTTATGCTCCTAATAAAGGGGGAAATAAATGATGCCTCAGACTTTGTTCCATTCCAGGCTAATCTTTCCTGCCTTTCAAAGGCACCTACCTTTTTCACCGCTCATTTATTGCCATTCCAACATTAGAGAAACCATAGGATTCTGTCCAGAAGAAGTTCATCCAAATGTAGATCAACCTTTCCTCATCTAAGTGCCTTCTAGATGTAGAGGTGAATTTCTAAAATTCCTAGCAAGCACATCCATCCCACAGAATACCATGAATTGATGTGTACAGTCCATACTTGACAAGCACCCAAACAGAAGATGGTTTTATGTGGTTTCTACTGGTTGCTGCAAAATACCATTTTTCCTGCTCCAGCTCCTTCACATCAGTCTTCCATAATGTTACATTTATGCAAGTGACAGGCAAAACTATTTGTGCTGTACGACTCTTCTCAAGAAGCAGAATTCTACCAAACCAACCTAAGATTAATCTAGCCACCAAGAGCCAGCAGCAGCATATAATTAAAGTTTTCTAGAGTTAATAATTATTTAATCATTTAGAAATCCGTTCGCAAAAGTCCATTGGAGGGCACCAGGGGGAAATATATATATTCTTAAGTTTTCGCAGGTACTTACATGTATGGTATTCAACTTTGTCCGGGTATTTTCCCACGTCATTATAGTTGTGCTTTTAAAGTTGTAGCAACATTTCAGCCGAATCTCATCTGTCATCATCAGGCTTCTGTATTGTGTTCGGACGAACACAATACAGAAGAGTTGTGCCATCATCAGGCTTCTGTATTGATTCTACCGAAACGTTGCTACAACTTTAAAAGCACAACTATAATGACGTGGGAAAATACCTGAACAAAGCTGAATACCATCTATATCTGTCTATCTATCTATCTATCTATCTATCTATCTATCTATCTATCTATCTATCTATCTATATTTGTGTATGTGTGTGTGTGTGTGTGTGTGTGTGTGTGTGTGTATTTGTTGTGGCTCCAGGCTTGGATTCAGCTCCTGTGATTGATATGAGTTCAAGTGAAGAGGTTACGTCAGAACAGTTTGAACCAGCCTGGCTTACTGATTGGACTGATAACCAGGATGAGGAGATGGACGTGACAAAGGACGACAGACCTGATGTATTAGAATTGTCAGGACCTTTGATCTCCTCTGGTTCTTTATCTGATGAACAGCCGGAAATGGCTGACAGGGAAGTTTTGAGAGAGTCTTCTAGTGGAGATGAGAACTTGGAAAATTTGTGGTTAAATGTAAAAAATAGAAGACGGTTGAAAAGGCAAAATCAGCTGGAGCAAATGAGAAGAGCAAGTCAGTAAATTAGCACGTTGCCTTAATGAGTATAAAAGGACACAGCTGGACTGGTGCATTTCGCCAGAAACAAAATGACTATTTGAGCGAGGACGTTACAGCAAAGAGCTCTGAGGCTGAGGATTTATTGCCAGGACTGGTTTGCCGGACAGAGTAAGATTTATGCTGTGGTTTCTGCCAGCCGTTATCTAATAAGACTTCTTTCCGTTTGATTTAATTGTGAAACGGCTGCTTTCTGTTTTGTTCGTTTGAATTTCGAAGGGGAGTCATAACATATATTTGTTTATATGTATGGCATTCAGCTTTGTTCGGGTATTTTCCCACGTCATTATAGTTGTGCTTTTAAAGGTGTAGCAACGTTTCAGCAGAATCTCCAGACGAACACAATACAGAAGCCTGATGATGGCAGATGAGATTCTGCTGAAACATTGCTACACCTTTAAAAGCACAACTATAATGACGTGGGAAAATACCCGAACAAAGCTGAATACCATACATGCAAGTACCCGTGAAACCTTGAGGAATATATATATATGCACAATTTAACCTAGAATGCAGGCAAGATGATTGAAAGTTCCAATGACACATGAGGTCATATTGTTTTAATATAGGTAGAATATTCCGATCCCTGTTCTTACCATGCAGGACAAAAATACAACCCCAAGAAGATTAAATGTAATTATTTTTCTTAATGTGTAGCCTAGTACTAAAAGGGTTTTAAGGCAGCCCTCTGAATTAAAACACATTTACTGTGAAGAATTTTATTAAGTCACAACTGTACAAGTAATAAGAAAGGAATTAGTGTATACAGTACATTCAGAAAGTATTCAGACCTCTTCACTTTTGTCAATTTTGCTATACTGCAGCCTGATAGTTGTTGAAAATCATTTTTTCCTCATTAATCTACATTCAGTACCTCAGAATGTCGAAGTGAAAACAGAATTTTAGAAATGTCTGTAAATTTATTAAAAAGGAAAAAAAACCTGAAATATCACATTGACATAAGTATTCAGACCCTTCACTCAGTGCTTTGAAGCACCTTTGGCAGAAATTACAGTCTTAAGTATTTTGGGGTATGACGCAACAAGCTTTGCACACCTGGATTGGGGGATTTTCTGCCATTCTTCCTTGCAAATCCTCTCAAGCTCACTAGCTTAGTCAGGTTGGACGGTGACTGTTAGTGGATAGCCATTTTTAGGTCCCTCCAGAGATATTCAATGGGGTTCATATCAGGGCTCTGTCTGGGCCACTCTAGGACATTAAAGAGAGTTGTCCCTAAGCCACTCCTGTGTTGTCTGGGCTGTGTGCTTAGGATCATTGTCATGTTGGAAAGTGAACCTTTGGCCCAGTCTGGCGTCCTGAGTGTGGTGGAACATGTTTTATTGACGATATCCCTGTACTTTGCTCCATTCAACTTTTCCTCAACCCTGACATATCCCACTCCCTGCTGCTGAAGAACACCCCCACAGCATGATGCTGTTGCCACCATGCTTTTACTGTTGGGATATTGGACAGGTGGTGAGCGGTGCCTGGTTTCCTCCAGACATAACATTTAGAATTGAGGCTAGATCTCAACTCTTGGTTTCATTGGAGAACCTTGTTCCTCACAATCTCGAGAGTTCTTCGGGTGCTGCAATGGGCTTTCATGTGTTTTGCACTTAGGAGAGGCTTCCATTTAGCCACTCTGCCATAAAACCCAGATTGGTGGAGGACTGCAGTAATGGTTGTCCTTCTGGTACTCTGCCCCATCCCCACAGACGATCTCTAGAGCTCAATCAGAGTGACCATCGGGTTCTTGCTCACCTCTCTTACTAAGGCCCTTCTCCCCCAATTGCTCAGTTTGACCAGCGACCAACTCTTGGAAGTGTCCTGGTTGTGCCACACTTCTTCCATTTGAGAATTATGGAGGCCACTGTGTCTTAGGAACCTTCAGTGCAGCAGAAATTTTATTGTAGCCTTCCCCAGATCTGTGCCTGGCAATAATCTTGTCTGAGCTCTACAGGCAGTTCCTTTGACCTCATGGATTTTGCTCTGCTACAGTATGCCTCAGCTGTAAGGCCTTCTATAGAGAGGTGTGTGACTTTCAAATCATGTCCGGACAATTTAATTTACCACAGGTAGACACTAATCAAGGTGTAGAAATATGTCAGCAATAATCAAGAGAAACGGGAGGCACCAGAGCTAAATTCCAAGTGTTGTTGCAAAGGGTCTGAATATGTCAATGTGAAATTTACAGACATTTCCAAAATTCTGTTTTCATGTCAGTATGGGGTAGCAAGTGCAGATTAATGAGGAAAAAAATGAATGTCAAACAACTGTAGAATCAGGCTGTAGCATAAAAACTGACAAAAGCGAAGGAGGTCTGAATACTTTCTGAATGCACTGTATAGATATATTTATATATACTGTATATATCTTATAAAATGCATAAACATCATTGTATAATCAATCCCATCCCTTGACAAGCCGTTTGCAAGGGAAATAAAATCTCGCAGAAGCATTCTTATCCACCTTTTTTTGCTCTAGGCAGAAGGAGACCGATTTTAGTACCAATCTTCACGACCACACTTTCCCAGTACGCTCCAACATGTGATACAGAACTACATAGTGAGGATACGCATACACCATTTAGTTTGGTTTTCTTTCTCCTGATGTATCCAGTAGCTGGGAAACTAATCTCCTGGCTAGAAATGTTTAGTATTTCTCAGGGAATGTAAATAGCCAAATAAAGAAATTGCCTGCCAGAGCAGGAGGACAATGTACCATCTCTGGCCAAGCCATCATGCAGCTGAGGATGAAGCTGCACCACCCCCCTCCCATTCCTCCCACCCCCATGATGCTTAGCATAGTGCAAATGAAACAACAGAGCTGCTTTGCCAGATGCTTACGATAGTAACATGCTGCATTGTTTCAAAAACAAAGCTGCTCCTTAATGAGACAGCTTCCTGCATAAGTGAGCACCCAGCACAACCAACCATACACCATCACGCAGCCAATCAGCTATTCCGTTCTAAAAACTGGTATATTTTTGGTATGGCTAGCAAAGCTCTCTCAAAAGACAGACACACACGCACAAAGTAGAGCCTGAGGAAGTTAGCTTCATGGCTCAAGTCCCACATCAGCCAAGACGAGAGGCAGCGTTATGGCGCCGAACATCAGGACAGTACACCGCAGAGTCTCTCTAAGGGCAGCGAAAAGGCTCAGTTAGTGAAAGTCTCTTCTCTGCTTGGAATTGGCTTTTTCAGGAAGTGCATCACAGCTTGCATCACTTTGCCAGGGGAGATGTTGTAGACAGGATGTGTTGGCTGCTGTTTGGGGATGAAGGAAAGGGGGAAAAAAGAATTAACCGCAATTCTGCTGGCTGTTGGCAGTTCTCTAACCAAAAAGAGGAGGAGGAGGAGGAGGAGGAGGAGGAGGGGGGGGAGGGGGAGGGGGAGGAGGAGAAAAAGAAGAAGAACAAGAACAAGAACAAGGAGAATGCATTTCATTTTTCTTGATAAAAGCTTGACCGCAGAGCTGAGGGAGGCCCTGACTTACCTCACAATTAAGTTCAGTTCAGTATCACTAAGCAAGGTAGTCATTAAGCGAGGCAATCCAGATTATGACCTTTTTTGCTATGGACTTTAAGTGAATTTGATTTCCATTATTGGCTTTCTTGGTTGGGAATCTCCTGGGAAGGTCACAAATGGCAATTACCTCACCCTGGGATGCTGCAAACATATAAATGTGAGCTAGCTATTGTCAAGCACCCACATCATGATCATGTGACCATGGGCCACTGTGATAATAATTACGAGGCCCAACTGTAACTTTTTTCTGCACTGTTGTAACTTTGAGTAATTGTTAAACAAATGGTCGCAAGTTAAGGACTACCTATGTGCCAAGTTCTGACACCTCAGTTCTGGACCACTAGAAAATTTCCTCAACTTTCCTCTGACCAATGACCAATGTATTGTCAAGCTCAGTTTTATGTGACTCAACACCCTTTAGCTGTTTTCAAGGTTTAGCATTGAAGAAAAGACACGTTCCTGTGTGGCTATGTCAACAAAGCTTGCTTGCCTATCTCTACACAATGAATATAAGATTCTGCAAACTCCTCTGCTTTGTCGTCTGCCATTGTTCTAAGGCTGGTGGGGAAGATCTTTCCTTCTGATTATCAAGTCGGAAACTTATGTGAGGATGAAGGGAAAGAAAAATGTATGCAAGATTGCAGATGGACGTTTAACCTCAGTAAAATTAAGATCCCTTGTTTATGGAACATCGAGGGATTTGTAACCTAATGTGTAAGAGGCAGGGACTCTGTTGTCACAGGAAGAGTGGTATCTTCAATCTTCTTGATGTTAGAGCCAGCGGGGACTGTGGAAGGGAAACGAGGAGACACTTGCCCTACACAGCACACTAATATTCCCATCCTGCCTCTTCCCCGTTGCTGTCTAACGTTTGCCTCACAAGAGTATCAGTTTATATACTGTTACATATTGGGTTCTTACCTTGCACCAAGGCATGTGTTTTAACATCACTAAGCCAGCTATCCTGGTTTGCACACATATAACACTAAACTGTGGTTTACAAGCCACATTACAGTTTAGTACATTGCAAGAACCTGATTTTAACCCATTTCAAGGTACCTGTTATCCACACGTAGTTATAATTTTAAAAAGTTCTGCTTAAGAGGCTTGACAAACATAACCAATCCTGGGCATTTACATGCATAGATATCAAGTTTGGTTTAGATGGAGCTTACCAGGCGGTTCTCTGGCACTCCTACCACGACTTCATGTAAAAGATCTCCACTGCCAAAATGCTGTGCTATCGACAACCCACTCAGGCAGTAGCAAGTATGGTAAAAATCTCGAGACCTGGAGGGGAATCACATACGAGGTTGAGGTAACAAAAACCAGAGTGTTTTTATGCTAGGCTTGTAAGCTTTTATGTAGAGTTCATTTTTGAAATTAGCAATAGCACTAGCACTTTGACTTATATACTGCTTCACACTGCTTTACAACTCTCTCTAAGTGGGTTACATATTGCCCCCCCCCCAACAATCTGGGTCCTCATTTTACCAACCTCAGAACGATGGAAGGCTGAGTCAACCTTGAGCTGGTGAGAACTAAATTGCCGAACTGCTGGCAGTTGGCAGTCAGCAGAAGTAGACTGCAGTACTGCATTCTAACCACTGCACCACCACAGCTCTTGAAATTAGGTTTAGAATATGTAGAAAATCAAGCCAACAGGTAAAATAGTTAGAATAAGACTCAAGCTGTGTACAGGCCCTTGATATAGGTAGTCCTTGACTTACAACCATAATCGAGTCCAAAATTTCTGTTGTTAAGTGAGAAATTTGTTAAATGAGTTTTGCCCCATTTTATGACCCTTTTGCCTCAGTTGCTGAGTGAATCACCGCAGTTGATAAGTTAGTAACCCAGTTGTTAAGTGAATCTGAGTTCCCCATTGACTTTGCTAGTCAGAAGGTCGCAAAAGCTGATCACATGATTTTGGGACAAAGAAACGGTCATATAAACAGTTGCCAAACATCTGAATTTTGGTCACATGATGATGGGGATGCTGGGAAGATTCTAACTGTGGAAAAACAGTCATATCACTTTTTTCAATGCCATTGTAACTTTGAACAGTCACTAAATGAACTATTCTAAATCTAGGACTATCTGTACCTCACATTGAGTCAATGGGTAACCCAAAGAAAGGCAGAAAGATCTGAAGGGTGATGGTCAAATTCCAACTCCTCAGAGTCTTTAGCTGTCATTTCTCAAGTCTTTGTCTGGCCACCAATGCATATATTAATCTGGCTACATTTACCTTCACAATGGAACACAAGGCAAATGGGAAGTGGCTTTAAAGTTTGGTTGAGTTAAACAGAGTTGCCAATAAGTTTGGGATGAGCTGTTTCTCCTGTCAAGTTAAAGCAAAATTATGGCAATTTAGGCTAACTTAATTAAATGGATTGCTGAATTCTGTTTGCTCTTGACAAAAAAGTGTGGAAGTTGTTTGTTTCGGAGCAGATTACTCAGATTACCTAATTCAGATTCTGATGCTAGCACCTCCCTAATTCTAGCTCTCCAAAACACCTTCTCTGCCTATGATTTTAATGCATTTCTATTATGCAAAGGGCTTTTAAGTACCATCTGACCAAGATTTTTGATAAACCCAAATTTATCATTTCCAATAGCAAGGAAGACGCCTGTCAACAATCACCCAGTACTCACTTTCCGGGCTTGTCCAAAAGACCTCCTGCAGGACATTGGCAGCACAACAAGATGTACTCTTGAAGGGCTTGTTGGTCAAACATCCAGTGTGTCATACTGAGAGCAGGATCACCTAAGAGAAACATCACATCAATAAATACTTGTGAAAAACAGTTGAAAATAGCTCCTGTACACCATACTAATGGGAATATACAAAGGGAAGCAACTTGATTCAAGTTTAGTTCTATAGCATGACCCTATTGGAGAATTATATTTCCAATTTTATTATTGTATAGATTCACTCTTCCCAAAATCTTGGACATTATCCAAGATTACTCAGTTCAGCTCTTCAGTTTTTTACGGCCAACATAGTCATTGCTGAGAATTTTGGAGTCAAAGCCGTTTTGGAAGATAAGTTAGGTAAAGCTACGTAGATGGACTCCAACATTCATTGTGCCCAGCCAGGCTTGGAGCTAACATGAGGAAGACACCAGGTCGAGAATATCCTCATGGTACACTCACAAGGGTCATTTGTAGCAAATGTGGCTCACTTAATCATGACCAATATGGCACCTCCTGGGTTTTTCTATTTCACCCTATTGAATTTTAAGGAGACTCTGCAGGCAAGAACTAAGTTTCTAGCAGTTGCTGGCAGCTGCTGGTTTTATCCTCTAGTCTAGCCTTTCCAATTATAGGTACTCAAAAGATCATCCACTTGCCACATGATGTGCTGCAAAACAACTGGATGATCCAGTTGCTAAGGAAATAATCAGACCCAAATGAGTACTGAGCAAGAGAGAGGTTGGAAAAGAGACAAAACTAAAAATGTACTTTGCATATCCTCAGACATGTCATTTTTCATGTGTTTCTAATCTTTTGCCTGTCAGCGGTCTGTTCCATTACATGCTTCCTAGTCTTATTACTAAGTTGAAAGAAGAGCATTTCCCAGTTGCTACAAAATCAGAATGCAAAAGCTAAGATTATTCTGTGTTCTTTGTTCTTGAGCCTTCACTGAACTCCAGCATTCTTGTCTACCCCAAAGAGGAAATCAGTGTCAAGAAACTGTACCCAGTGGGGAAAGCATGGGTAACATTTTGAAGTTCAAACTTACCTTTGGCATGTAAAGCTCGATGTAGGAGAGGCAGTAAACCAGCCTGCCAGAATGAGTAGCAGCCATCCACCAGCTTGTTACAACGACCCTGAAACCCTCCTTCAAAACGCATTTGACGGCTTGTAACCCAGTGCTGGCAGAGAGAGCAAAGCAATCATCACTCTTGCCTACAGCAATCAGAGAAGCTGTTACACACAATCAACCCAACTTAGACAGTCACAGATATTTGCCTGTTTTTATTTCCTTTAATTTAATACATCTTTGTTGCAACAATGTATCCAAGTGGCCATCCTTAGTTATAAAATTGAAAGGAAACAAAAAAAACCAGACTGCTCATTCAACATACTCAAAATAATTTTATTTAAAACCATTATAACATGATAAAGTGGCTATCGAGGAAAGCTATTGAGAAATGATGGTATAGCAAATATTCTCTATGCAGTCATGGATGTGACTGGTTTTCCTCAGAGAGATAATGGACCGGAACATTCACTGTTATTATTTTTAGTGCTGTGACGGTATGTTTTGTTATGTTTTCCATTTTGTATTATAATAACACAATAATATCTATCTAAAATAATATTTAATAACTTTGGAAAGATGCTCACAGCTTTATGAAACTGAGTGAAATAAAATTGGCAATACTAAATAAATACCAGAAGTTGTGTATAAAATTTTTAATTGAAATGCTGACATGAAATGCAGACATCATTGCTAAAGCAATCTTCTACGATGGAATGAATCCTGAACACAGATCCCATCATCAAAGCCAGCAGTCCTAGTGCTGGACCGCGGATGATTGGATTGATCTGAAGCAATGAGATTGAGAATTTAAGTAGTAAACTAGTGAAGTATTTTTACAGAGTTATGGATTAGACGGAGATTTGAGACATAAGAAATAATGCTAGACTGTTTCTCCAGAAGAAATATTTAAACAATGCAGAGCCCAGTTATGCAATTTTGTAATATGACAGAAATGTCCAAGTGCTAGATTTGGGGAGCAGTAAAAGAGGAACATCAACAACAAAAATGATAAAAGCAGGTTAGGGTTAAACAGGAAGCCTATTAACAATGCATTAATCATGAATCAGACCCATGATTTATTTTTGAAACTGCAATACAGACTTGGACTTATGGACAGCCAATTAGAAAAGACCTATGGAAGACTGGTTTGGATATAGTGACTGCAGCAGGCTTAGTATATAAAGATGAAAAAACAGTGAGATACCCACAATGGAGAAGTGGACAGTAAAGATGGGGAAAAATGATCTGATGATTTATGGATTTGCCAATTTAAAAGGGTTGAATAGTGGGGAAATATGATGTAATTTTAAAGACAGAAGTGTGTAGATTTACTTGTAACTGCTGTACAGGAGTTTATATATTTATTTATTTTTATTTTCTGGTTTCAGTTTGCTTTTCTCTCCCTTTGTTTTTTTCACTTTTTCACTTCATTTTTCTTCTTTTTCTTAATTTTAGTTTAAAATATTTTGTCCCAAAGGTGCTTTCTCAAGAGGCAACTGGACTTTCTGGTTATTCTTTAAAGATGTTTTGCTTCTCACCCAAGAAGCTTCTTCAGCTCTTGAAAGAAATCAACATACTCAACATATGTCTTCAAAGAAAAACCAGGAAGTCCAGTTGCCTCTTGAAAAAGCACCTTTGGGACAACCATGACCTGGATGACTGAGAATCTCCATAGACATTTATATTACTTTGTTTTATATCTGAGAACATTTTAATAAAAATTATGAAACTGTAATTCAGATGCATTTGATTTCTGTTCTTTGAATAGCATGAAATAAATAAGCGAATCTGACAAATGGTTACTTACTAATAAACTTTTCAAATTCAAAACTTGTTCATTTTTGAGAATGACCAAGGCTGCCAGTCCACAAAACGTGTATCCTCCATGGGCTTCCATGCCAGGGACACCACCGATCCCGCCCTCCCAGTTCTGACATCTAATTCAAAATTAAAACACAAAAGCAGGGGCTGTATTCTTATTCCAAGATAGAAAATAAGATTAGATAGAGAGAATGAGATGGCATATAGGGCAGAAGTAGAGAACCTGTCTATCTGGTGTTCACAGAACAATCTGTCACTGAATGTCCATAAAACCAAAGAACTGATTATGGACTTTAGGAAACATGGACAGGACCACGCCCCACGCATCGTCAAGGGAGAACGAGTGGAAACTGTCCCTATGATCAGATTCCTTGGCATCCATATTTCATCTGATATTTCCTGGTCCCCTAATACCAAGGCCATAGTGAAGAAGGCTCAGCAGCGGCTGCACTTCCTGCGGGTTCTCAGGAAGAACAATCTGGATAAGAAGCTGTTGCTGGCTTTCTATAAAGCCTCTGTGGAGAGCACTCTGACATATTGTCTGGGTGTGTGGTATGCAGACTCCACAGTTGAGGACAGGAAAACTGTACAGAGGGTGATAAACACAGCTCAAAAGATCATTGGTTGCCTTCTGCCCTCCCTGGAAGACTTAGCCAGGTCCCGCTGCCAAAGCAGAATCAAGGCCATTATAGAAGACCCCTCACACCCTGGCAATTATCTTTTTGATCTGCTGCCAGCATTTTAGATCAATAAAATCCCATACCACTAGACTAATACATAGCTTCTTTCCCTGGGCCTTCTGAACCGCAAATAAACACGAAGTCACTAACTTATTAAGATATGAAAAGATGTGAAATCTCAATACCTCGTTCAGATGTATAATAACATATTACAGTACAATCCATCTCTTGTGTATTATACTCGGCAAAGCGTTGGATGTATATTTTGTGTATATTCGTAGATATGGTACTCTCAAATTGCAAATGGAGACTCTCTTATCTTCATTTTTAAGTGCTTTGGTTTTATTGCATTGTGAACAGTTGCTGGGGTGCATCCACAGTTTCGTTGTACTTGTACAATGACAATAAAGTTCTTCTAATTCTAATGCTAATTAGTGGGGGGGGGGGTTTCCCTGCTTTTCCTGCTCTGGGTAGCTTAGAATAGTCTAAGACTGTTAAATTGCCAACTAAGAGTTTCTTACCTTGCGATCCATTCTGCAGTTTTTTCAAAGAGAGACTGTGTAATAATGTTGCTAAGGGAAGCTACAGATGCAGCACAATAGGCACTCCTATGATTTAAGTAAAAGAATATTTAAAAGCTTTAGATGGAGAAAGAATAGACATGGCTCTAAGTAAGAAATCCTATATTAAACTGTGCTATCTATGACACACTCAGGATGCTGTTGAAAAATAACATGCATCATAAAAAGAAGGGGGCTATTACGTTTGAGTAATTCCGCCACTCTCAAAAAAGTCTACATCCAATGAAACAGCTTTGCGTAGAGAGGAGGAGAGAGATGGTAACTCTCTGTTGACAGAGGATTTACATCACCAACACAAGGAAGGAGACAATTGCTGGCAGGTTCCCATCTGTGCTATGGGCAACCTCCCACTCTAAACTGAAAACGTTCCCCGATTTTCAGAATAGAGAGCTGAGGGGGAATGTGTCGAAGGGGGCATCGTTAACAATTGGCTTCCTTCCTATACTGCTGACAGCTGAATGAAAAAGGCTTCTGTCAGCAAAGCAACATCAATTGGGCACATTTTTTAAAGCACAACAGAATGGAAATTATACCAAAAGCTAAAGTTGGACTTTACATTCACCATTCAGTTCACCAACTCGTAATTTAATTTACATTTATAATTACCAAACATACTGTGTTGCTATTGATATTACGACAGAGAGACCGTTCTTATATCTTTTCCTTAAAATCTCATGGAGGAGAGGGGAAGTTCCAAAGAAGTTGTAGTCTTACACAAACATGCAATCATTTATTGGTTTCCCACACTGAATATTGTAAATTAAAGTTCTGTTTTAAAAGTGTTTTCTTTCTTCAATTTGCTGTACCAAAGCAAAACCTGAGCGTGTGTGCTGGGTTTTTTTACAGCAGCATGGAGCTCCTCTGAATTATAATCACAGCAAGACAGCCTTGTTGACTCTTATGGAGGGTGTTTCTGTAGAGCAGTAGCCAAGGCCTCAACCTCTTACTTTACTTCTAGCCGTGTCATTATCAATCTATGCAGAACATTAAATGCACTTCAGGAGAAACCTCCTAGTAATTAATAGCTCGATTTGCTTTTTGCAAATCAAACTACATACTACACACCAAGGAAAGGCAAAGGCAAAACTAGTCTGTAACAAGCAGCAAAAACATGGAATGTTTTTGACGTACCGGACATCAACTTCTCCCCCTATGTGCATGATGAAGGAGCCATCAGGCTGCTTCAGGGAATACAGGTATTCCAGAAGCTTCTCTCTGAAAATGAAGAATTGGTAAGATGAAGAACATCAAAGTAGCAAGAATGGTTCAGAATTTCTACACACCAACTCTTTTTCACTTTGTTGATGGCAACCACCCCACAATGTGCTTTCCTGCAGAACCTTGGGCCCTCATCATCGCTGCCTAAGGCATTTCCACAAAAACACCTGGATTCTTCACAACAGCTGCCTTCTTACCACCGCCACCCCATGTGCTGTAATACTATATCTTTGCATATACTCTTTGTTATATCGCATATCAACAAAGACCAATTCTGAGTACTGAACCAGGTCAGACGTCATATGAAACACCATGAGGCCAAATCAAGCCACATAATCGATTCCTACTCCTGGAATTCAAAGCAACTGGCCAGTACAATAAGGGAGATAGTGTACCCAACCCCTGCAGAATTCCTGGAGGATGATCTCAGAACCCTGGTTACATATTTAGCTCCATACATATTTTCTCACCTTACAACTCCCAGGCTAATTTATTTTATGGCCCAACTGTGATATTAGCAAGGGTTACAGGTAGTTCTCAACTTACAACCACTCATGTACTGATTGAAATTACAACAGCACATAAAAAAATAACTTATGACCATTTTTTATACTCATGACCATTACAACATCCCCATGGTCATCTGATCAAAATGTGACACTTGGCAACTGATATGTATTTATGACGGTTGAAGTATTCTGGGGTCATGGGATCACTTTTTGGGATCTTCTGATCAGTAAAGTTAATGGGAAAACCAGATTCACTTAGCACCTGTGCTACTAACTTAACTGCAGTGATTCACAACAACTGTGGCAATAAAAGCTGTAAAATGGGGCAAAACTCACTTAACAATGATCCTGCTTAGTCATGCAAATTTTGACCCCAACTGTGGTCATAAGTCGAGGACTATCTGTATTTCTCTTCCTTTCTCCAATTTGTGTTAAAGAGCATCATTTTATACCTTTTTGAGCAGTGCCATGTTATCTTTTCAGACTTATACCTTGAAGATCAATTGTTCCTAATATGAACGTGTTTCTTGACTAGTTTGTTTAATGTGCATGTAAATAAATACTCTTATCAACAGATCAATACTTCTCCAAACCCCATTGTGGGAGATTGTACAAACACAGTGGATGAATCCAGTGATGGATCAGCCATATGACGGCACCACATAAATCTGGGGGTTCTGCTGGTTTTTTAAAAGAAAAGTGAACGTAGCAGATTCACTTTTCTTTGGCAATTGGAGAAAAATGGTAACATTTCTGAATCTCAACTGATTTAGATTAAGCAACAGAATGATAGATAGCAGGTGAGGCTATTGAATGTGCTGCATCTGCCTGTAGTAGGGACTACACAAACATAATTCTAAACAATGTGGAGAGGCATTGGTTTCTGTTTGTTTCCCACTGTTCATCATAACCTGTAAGTCTCAAGAGCCAATTTGGCTACCACTGGTAGGGAAGGGAATGAAAGCAACAGAATGGGCTCTAGTTGCCAAAGAGCATCTGTTGGCAAAGGCTGTAAGAGAAAATAGTTTCTTGCTTGCTTTTCAGTTGTCATTTCCTCTGCATGAAGTGAAATATGGAAGCCTGGGGGAATAGTAGGGATGTTCTAGACATCTTGTATCACAAATTGAACTAATAATCCCTTGGATCCCCTTCTGAGCTATGATTTTACCTGTTGATAACACTGTATGCTTCTTCAGTGCCAATAATACAGAGAGCATTCACAGCAGCATATGTTGGAGCAAGATGTGGGTGTTGGCCTGGTCCTCCTCCAAAACCTCCGTTTGGGCTCTGACAGTGGCTCAGGAATTGACACACACTACACACCAAGGAAAGGCAAAGGCAAAGGCAAAACTAGTCTGTAACAAGCAGCAAATGCTACATTTCCTCAATAGTTCAGTTTTGCTAAAACTCTTGTCCAGTACACCCATTTCTGAAAACAGCTATTATTCAAGACTTTTTCAAATGTCTCCCTCTTGTCATGTATCACCATCATAAGGTAATTGAGGGGGGGAGGAATCCAGAACTTTTATTCTAGTGCAAATTTTAACATCATTCCCATGCCACTATATTCCACTGACACAGAATTCATATCTTCAACTGATTGTATCAAATCCGAAAAAACACAAGTGAGACACCACTTGGGCAATGAAGCTTATGGTTGCTTTATGGCTGCTCCTGAAAATATAAGGCAGGATAGGATGCCCAAGTGCATCAGGAGGGAACGTTTTGGTTTCTCTTCAAACTATAAAGGGGAGGGGAAAGATCTGCAGAAAGAGGAAAGCAGGGGAAAGGAGTGCAGAATAACCATTTTGTGCTCCTACAGGAGAAATGTATAGTGGTTGAAGAACCAAAATATCTGCTCAAAGATTGTCTCTCATTAAAATTACTTAGCTAACTGCATGATTTCCACTATGGTTTGATTCTGGTCAGATATGATTTCTGAATGCTCTCCCTTAATTATTCAGAGTAACCTTATCACTTGCTCTGATCTAATCAGGTTTCAACACGTAATAATCCTATGAATTAAACTGCCTTAATTATAGTTTGTCAAAATAGACCAATTTCTCAGCAGAGTTCATGAAATTAAAATGATCCACACTTTAGGATACAGACCACACAAGTTGCAGTTATTTTTTTAAAAAAGGAGATGAGGCATATGGCCAAAGCTCAAGGTGACTCATCCACATCATATAAAACCAGCTTAATTATTGTCCAAATGCAGTCACAGCCTTGATAGGCTTCAGTAGCTGGTCGAACATGGATGATCGAAGAAGCAAGTTAACCTTGAATTGTACCTGGTTTGGGAGGGGGGGGGCACACTTCCAAAGGATTCCAGGGCTACTGAAATCAGCTCAAGAGCATCCTTACCCTTTAAATTCATGGTTCTTATCAGTTTTCTTGTGTGTTGGGGTTTTGGGTACAGGATACAGTACTGCCAAAGGATTCCATTGGTGATGGGACTGAACATGTGAGTAGCAATGAAGGAAGGTAAATGTCGCCCACCCCTCTGCAGCTCCAGGGCCCTCAAAATCTGTCCCAAATGATTGATTGATGGACCCCTCCAGGGCAGATTTTGGGAAGGGCTAGGACAGCGGTTCCCAACCTTCCTGGCTTAGTGGACTGGCAGGGGAGGGGAGGAGATTGGATGGTGCTGTGTGAGTGAAAGGGAGTGCATGAATGCACGCAACTCCATTTACACCAGTGGTGAGCACGAGTGCCCACTGCACACACAAATGGAGCTGTGTGCACGAGCGCCTGCTGTTCACACAAGTGGAGCTGCACACACATACACACTCGCCTGCCATTTGCATGGCCCGGTTCTGAACAGGCCATGGCCCGGTGGTTGGGGACCCCTGGGCTATGGGAGAGAAGAAAGCCCTGCCATCTGTATGAAGTGGACTGAACAATCCGCCAGTCAAAGGTGAAAATCTTGCCTCCTTGTTTGGATCCCAGGCAGGGAATCTCTGTCAGCTTTGATCTACAATGTGATAATACAATATATAATATTGCACTGTATTTTGCTAAATTAGTTGTGAAGCCTGTGGGAATGCAATGTTTTTAAAATGGGAGAAATTATAAGACTATCAGAAATGGGTCTGTGCCTCCAAAGAACAAGTCCGGTTGTTTCTCCCTTTTTTCCTCATAAACTGCAGAACTTTACTCTTGTCAGAAATGTGGCATATCTGACAGTGGCTTGTAGGGAAAAGTAGTATCTGTTGTGTCTCTCCCCTTACCTTGCAAATCTTCTCTCCCCAGAATCTTTCCTCTACATAACAGAGCTCTTGCCACCACCATTACCTAAGCCCATCACAATAAGTACTAAAAGCTTCTACTCAAGAACAAGTTATTAAGATGTTGTTGGAGCAAAATGAATGAGACAATGCACTGTTGTAGTTTTAAAATAATCTGGACACATGATGCATGGGCAATGGGATGTTAACTCCGAAAGTCAAGTGCTCTGCATAGCTGATGAAGATTTCAGAATATCAATGTCTACAGTCATTTTTTGCTGCAGAAATGTTAAAAGTAGTGGAACAGAGCTCCACTTCATATTATACTTACCATTTCCCACTATGTGAACTCTGGGTTTTAACTTTAATACAATTATTTACTGATAAGGTAGTAATCTGTCTCGCATGCATCCTGCTTCTGCATAATCATTTGTCTTTTCCACCCCAAGCCTCATTCCAATTTAAATGCTACATCAGTATAGCCACTCTTTTCATCTAATGAACTGAACTCCAGCTCATGAAAGCTTGTGCCTTTTAATAAAATGAGTTAATCAGAAAAAGTGCCACCAGGCTCTTTCTAATTTTAATTTTAATTTAGGTAACTTTATTGAGTAGCTTGTTGGAAAAACAGAATTAAAGATGCATAGAATCCAAAGCCTGATTAAACTTTTCTTGATTTCTACAGTAGAGGTTAACTGCAGTATTTTTTTAAATCTTCAATGAGGACTGGAAACTTTTAAGGAAATCAATCTTCAAAATAGAAAGAGTTATCCTCTGTTCCTATATCACATATTGTACACTGTGCAATTTCTGAGTAAATCCCCATAATGCTAAAGAAAGAGTACATCTGATAAAACCAAACTTACTCTGATGCTACTGAATCTGGTATTGGTTCCCCCAAGAGCTCCAGGCTGTGCAGGATCCAATAGCACAGCCATGGGCGGCTGGCATCCAGACACTACAAAAAAAAGAGAACTACACCTGTTCAAATCTTATACAACAAGCAGTACTATATTTGCCTCAAATGAGGGAGCATTTTGTGCAGGAGATTGCTTTATCAGAACAAAAATACTGAAAAGCAAACAGCTCATCTAAGAGCAAAGGAACTTGAACTTGGGAGTATTCTGACAGTGCCAAAAAAATTGTTATGATTTGTTCAGTAGTAACCTCTCTTTTTATTTATTACTATCCGGACAAAGCAAAAACCATATAAGTAACTAATCAATGGAGTCCCGCCCCCCCCGCCCCCAGGTCTGGCCCTCTACAGATGTGCTGAGACTGCAATTCACAGAATAATTCCCCTCACTTATCTTCTTTTTGGGAGCAATAGCTTAGAATTCTAGAGAGGGTTGATCCTCCAGCTGAAAGAGCTAACAAAGCCTAACAAAGCCAGCCAATAGAACTCAATTTGTCTCCTTCTAGCCCACCTAATATTCAGGTGTCTGAGAAATAGTAAAAGCAGAAGCAAAAGAGGAGAGTATGAAACACCAAGGACATTATAGACCATGGTCAAATCTATGATTAGAAACCAACAAACTGCAAACATAATCGGGAAGAAGGCGGAGCCTCCTCGCTGACGGACCGTAGATCGCGACTCTCTGCGGCTATGGTCCGTGCTCTTTTGTTGGAGAGCCCCGATCATTACGATTAGGGGGTGAAGCTGCCTTGGAGGGGCGGCGGAGTAAGGGGAAGCCGCAAGCCAGGTTGAGGGGAGCCGCATCTCCCCTCCTGGGCTTGGTCTTTCCCCTCCACCGAAGACGAATGCAGCAGTGGTTTAAAATGGCCACCCCGAAGAGGAGGACTCAGCTGGATTAAGCTTTGTGCAGGAGGGAAGAAAGAGGTAGGTAACATCTGAACCGGGACAACTGGGCAATACAACTAAACAAAAGTATCCCAGGATTAAGGTAACATGGAATTTTTAAGAAAAGAAAAGTGAGCGGCGAAATTACAAAGGCACAGGAAAAAAAATAAGAAAATATTTTTGACAGCTAAGTGGGGCTTTGAACCGGGAAAGAAAGAAGCCGGAACTAAAGATTTAACTAAATTGGAATAAAATATTTTGGCAATAAACAGGCATAAAATAAAGCTGGACTTAAGATTGTCAAAAAATAATAATAATAAAGTTTACAAATTGAAGACTGGACTGTGCTGGAATACTGAGGTTCGAAAAACCCTAAACAAAAAAATAGGGGAAAAAGGTGAAGACTTTGTATAATGGAGACTGCCACCTTTTGACAAAAACTTGAGCTCAAACAAAAGGGAAAGCATCCTGTTTCTCAATGAACTTGTGTGGATATAACACAAAAGAAATATTGAACAAAGTAAGAATCTTAGAAAGTGAAAGCAGAACCAGAATAAAGAAAAAAGCAAGGAAAGACTGACTGTGGGATTGATTGATGTTTTTGGTATAGACCCTGGGCTGGAATAATTGAGAACTTTAGAAAATTGAAAGAATAAAGAAGGAAAGTAAAAGTGGTTTTTTTGTGGACTTTAATGATCATAAAATACAAGAATGTGTAATGATGATATCTCTTCGGGAATTAAAAATGGAACTTAAAAATATGAGAGAATTACTACAGGAAAGAGGCGAATCACTTTGCTCTGTGTTAGAAAAAATGGAAATGGCGATTGAAGAACAAGAAGAAAGAGCTTCAGAGGAGGAGGAGTTAATTTAAGGAGAAGACATTTTAAATAGACAAAGAACATTACAAAGAAGTGGGGAAAGAAGGAAGGTTAAAAAGTTGAGATTTAAGAAGGCAATCAAAAGGGGGAATACCTGTGAAGTCGGAAAAGGCAGAAAGACCCAGCAGAAAAGGGGAAAGGAAGATATTAAGAAAGAGAGGGATATAAACTGGAATGAGAAAAGATATGAGGAAAAGAGGGGGAGGAGAAGCAGTAAGAAACAGGTGCATGAAATAAAGAAATATGGAAATAGTAAAACGTGGAAAAGAAATTGTTTTTTCAGAGATAATGGTTGATGAATTAAAAAGGGGATTCTGCAGGGTGACAAGGGGTAATAAGAATATTTCTGCAATTAAAAATATTTAGAAAATAGGGTAATACAGATACTGATAACTTTTATTAAAAATTAAGGGGGGAAAATATGCTGTGGAATCCAAATGAAAAGATGTAATGATTATTATTGTAACTTCCTATAAATAATGGTTTATTGGGAATCAAGATGAAAGAATAAAGGTATATTTTAATCACTGAGGTGTCACACTCAAAGCAGTAAAAGGGGGGGAACCTATACTTGTTTTTTTCTTTAGTGTTAAAATTTATATTAATCTAGAATTTATAAAAAATGTGTAATGGAAAGGAAATATGACTAAAGAACCAACTAAATTAATAAGTTAATATAGACTATTAAAAGCAAGGAGAGACTTTGGTAAACTATTATTATTATTATTAATTATTATTATTATTATGCGAACATATTGTTTATCTTTATTTTTAAAATAAATATTAAAGGATTATATTTGAAATAGTTGAAATGAAACAAAAAAATGTTTCAATTGAGATTAATGAAAGAATTAGTGTGCTTGTTTCTCTCCTTACTGAAAATTTGGAATGGAAAAGGTAATAATAGAATTAAGTATGCATATATGAATGTATAATTGCTGTCTTATTTGTATGTAAAGGTGATGACCCGGAAATACGTTGTCCACTAAAAAGAGATTTTTGTTTTTAATGTGAAAAACTGAATAAAATTTGTTAAAAAAAACCTGCAAACATAATCAATAAGGAAAAAAGTATACATTTGGTTCAAATTGCAAAAAATTACCTCATAGGCATCTGTCAATTGCCTCAGTCCTCTCTTCAAGTAATGGAAATGTTTCTCTTGTTGCAAAACATACCTGATGGATTGACCAAAAGACATACAGTTTAGCAAAGTTATAGAGTACCATCAGAGTGATGAACAGACTTGCTTTTCATTCAGTTAATTAAAGGGACAAAGAATAACCTGTATTTTCCATAAATATAGTGTATATATGAAATGTGGTATGTTTGTATTTATGGATATATTCCTTGAGCAACTATCAGACCACTTCACACAAAATGAATTCTGGCTTATCAATATACAAGCAGCTTTATCTTTCTACAAACAAGCAAAATGAGTTTGGATTTAAATCAGGAATCTGATCTTATTCTTACTGGAATAAGTCTAGCCTGAGGCTCATAGTGCATTACACTATGCAAGCTGTGGCAGTTAACTATATGTTTGTTAACGGTACTCTCTTGAGGAAGAAGCCAAGGGATCTAAGCTGTTCAGTCATTAGTTAGCCATATGGTTTGTCATCAGTTGCAAATGCAGTCACAATACACTTAATGCTATGTTAGATCAAACCAAGGTCCATATAATGGACATTCTTGTCCGGAGCCAAATGAATGCTCAGACTAGAAGTATGCAACCATTTCAGGTAATGAGGACCAGTATACAATTACAAGCAGAGTTTTGGTGACTTCAGAACTTTCGTTCATGATATTTAATGATATTTAATTATATTCATGATATTTAACTTTGAAAAAGATTTTGTTGGATAGTAAAGAAAAGATAAACAAGATTAATCTACCTGTAGTGCCCACAAAGTAAGGTTGTAGAGAAAATAGGTGGTAGATTTATTACTTGCCCAACCCAACCCCTAATAAAGTCATTCATTTTTTTTATGAAGGGAGAGCAATCTAAGGAGTCTTGTCATTGTAAAGTTTGAGAATCCTGCCATAAATTAATAGTGCAATGTGGTGCATCAATAATTTGTGTCAAACTGTCAGTTAATTTCCGTTGGATAAACATGAAGAATAACAAAATAATTTCCACTTCTTGCAATTTTATTGCAACATTAATGATTAACAGTGATTCTGCTATTGCTTATTACAAAACATCCAAAATAATTACCCAGTATAAAAGATTTTAAAACAAATTCACTAAAAAGTGTGTTCTCTGAAATCATGAAACATTTGGGAAAAAAACATTAAAATGGAAGAATCAGCCAAGGTGAACATATGTGATTGAAAGATTGAATTTAATAGGCAGGTCACTAAAGGGTGAATCAAAGAAATATTGTGGATCGGGCAAGGATGTTCTAGGAAGCAGATTCCTACAGATTTCAAATAATAATATAAAACCAAGAAAAATACATACATGCATAAACCCAAGATAACAAAAAAAGTCAGTGAAATGATTGATTTTATAAGTATTTTTTATTCTGCCTGTTTCTTGGGGGAGGGCTTTTTTTTGGCTAAGCCACAATTGCTAACTATGTAAAGTTTTAAAAAGAATAACAACAAGAAGTGGAGAAGAGGTAGAGATGAGGATGAGAAGGCTCTGGGGTGGAGTTTCCTCCCCTCTCCTCTGTTGTTTGCACTGGAAGAAAAGCTCCCATTCAGAACAGCAGACTGTCATCCAACACAAAAACAACAAGGGTGACTTCATGATGTTTCTCTAAGATTTAATGAATGGAACACTATAAAATATTCCACAAGTGGGCATTAAAGCTGCATACACTTATACACGCTTGAATATTTAGATACATAAACCCTTCCCATCTGCCCCCATGATTGCCCCCAGTTGCATCTTCCTTCACAAGGGCCTTTGTAGGGTTGAGAGATAATCTGCAGATGTGAGAATAAGTGTAGGAAACTGCTATAAAAGGAACACATTCCTCAAAACAGATAAGCCAGCACAATTCAAGATCCAAAGTCCTTAACATAAAAAGTTTATGCTTTTTTTAACTATACAGAAGAAAAGGAACATGAATACAATAACTTACTGGGTGTCGTGATGGTTTCTCTTGTAAACATCAAAAACTTCTTGAACAATATCCTCCACTTTTGTCTGCATCAAGCCAAGGGGACAAAGAAGAGTCACAGAAAACATGGAAAAAGAAAGCACTAAAATTAGCACAATAATTGTTATGTGAAGAGGTCAGTCATCACATTACAATACAATGATGTCATAGCATAACATGTCAGAAGTATTTTAATGATTGTGAATGCACCCAGGTAGAGTCTTTTGTACCGCAAACACTTCTCTACTGGTGCAGAAGACATTTTCCATGCTGAAAGACTGCACTGGTATCAACATGGCTTTCCATAATCTTAATTAATACTTCTAGGATCAAACTATTTGAGAAACCCTATGATGTCTCATTTCCATAGTGGAACACAATAACAGAAAAATGCTAGCAATAAGTTCTTAATGAACACTAAAATGTGACACATAGCATATATTTTACTTGAATAAAATGGCAGAAGATATTTAAAATATTAATAGTAACATGGGTAGCAGCAAGAAACATTAACTGAAGAATGCTCTCAACAAATGACTCAAACTAATAAAGATCTATTGTTCCTTTAAAAAGGGGCAGAGAATTTCAATTTTCTATTATATTATTGTTTGTTCAACAGAGCAAACTTACAAAGAAGTACTTCCATTGGCAAATTAGCGGCTCCAGAGCGATTTGTCAAAGTTTTTCTTGCCTCTACTAAACAAGGCTGTTGCTTAGTTTGCTGGCATCCCACCAACATGGTAGTTAATATATTTTTTTATTTGTATCCCATCATTATTATTTTTATAAGTAATTCAAGGTAGCAAACATATCAACATACTGTCCTCTTCTTATTTTCCCTTCAGTATCCCTGGGCCAGGGGTGGGCTTCAAAAAATTTAGCAATGGGTTCTCTGCCCGGTTGCTGGGTGGGAGTGGCCTAGTCAGCTTCCTGCACTACGGCAGAGGGTGTGTGGTTTCGCCCTCCCCAGGCTCTGGAGGCTTTCCTTGAGCCAGGGGACGGCGAAAATGGTCTCCCTGGGCTCCAAAGGCTGGAAATGAGCCTGTTTCCGGCCTTCCGAAAGGCCTATTTTTTGCCCTCTCCGAGCCTCTGCGCAGGCCCTGCACTTATCTGGGATCCAAAACGGGCCATGTGGGGACTCCTGGGAGGGGAGGAGTGGGCAGGGCTAGCCAGGAGTAGGATTTGCTGGTTCACCAAACTGCCCATAAAATTAATAACCAGTTCACCTAAACCAGGGTGAACTGGTAGCAGCCCACCCCTGGGTTGGGCTGAGACAGAGTGACTGGCCCAAGCTGTCTTTCATGGCTAAGACAGGGCTTGAACTCATGGTCTCTTGCTTTCTAACTTAATGCCTTAACCACTAGACCAAACTAGCTATAGCACACATTACAATACCACACATGAATCAGATGCTGGCTGTTATGCCGGTAAAAAGTACTTTGTGGTAGGTGATCACCAAAATTCAAATCTAGAGCCTAGAAGAGGAAATGAAATGAGCAATCAAGGAGACAAGTTATTTATATTCTATTACAAGGCTCCAGAATTCTTCTAAAAGGGGCGTTGGTTCTTACCTGATACGCTTCTTTTCGTAGAGCTGCAGAGAGTGTCCAGGTTGGGAGGTGCTCCAGTCTCGGCTCTCACAGGCTGAGCTTGAAATTGAGGAACGCCTCTCACCATCACGTGGTCCTCTGGGCGCTCCCCAGTTTTGCGAAGACGAGAAGGAAGGCCCTGTTCTCATCCTAACTAAAAATTATTAGTTTGCTTGGTCGAACAGCGAGGTTCCCCACCAGACGGACTAATGGGTGGGGCTGGACACTCTCTGCAGCTCTACGAAAAGAAGCGTATCAGGTAAGAACCAACGCCCCTTTTCCATAGAGCTGCTCCGAGTGTCCAGGTTGGGACATACCAAAGCTTGGCGAGTCCTGCGGGCGGGCTCCCGTCTGGGGTGGAACCTCCCCTGGAACCTCGAGGACTCGCTGAAGGACCCGCCTGTCACAAGAAGACTCGGCGGATGCGAGTACATTAGTCTTATAATGCTTGATGAAGGGAGATGGGGATGCTCAGGTGGCAGACCTGCAGGTGTTGATTATAGAGGCTTGTGTGGCCCATGCGGCAGAAGAAGCCGCATTTCTAGTGGAGTGGGCGGTGATGCCCATGGGAACGGGGAGGGACTGTGCATGGTAGGCCTTGGCGATGGCGGCCCTAATCCAGCGGCCCACAGTTGTGGGCGTCCCCTTGCGACCGAGGGAAGCAGGTTTGAAAGACACAAGCAAGGCCTCTGACTTGCGAAAGGGCTGGGTGCGTTTGGTATACACTCTCAAGGCGCGCCCTATATCAAGGGAATGCTACTGTCTCTCCCTCTCTCGAGAGGGATTGGGGCAGAAATAGGGAGTATGAGCTCCTGAGCTCTGTGAAAGGTTGAATTTATTTTAGGGGTTGCCATCTCCGAGATCCGACGAGCGGATGTGATGGCCGCAGGAAAAAAACAGACTTGAGGGCGAGAGACTGTAAGAGAGTCTCCCTGGGGTTCAAAGGGGGGCTTGGTAAGAGCGACTAGGACCTTGATGAGGTCCCAGGTCAGAAGCGGCATATGGTCGGGGGGGGAAGAGACAACCGTTGCGAGGGCAGCGATATGACGCCTTAGGGTGTTGGTAGACAGTCCCTTGTTAAGGCCCTCCTGAAGAAATCCAGGATCTGGGTGATGGAGAGAGAAAGAGGGTTAATTTGGGACTTGAGGGCCCAGGCACCGAAGGCGACCCACGTAGCGTTGTATATACAGGTGTCTATAACCTGGCTGGAAACATTCTGCGCTTTTAAGTGGTTTCGCTCGACCCCCAGACGGCTGGTTGGGGCCATGGGGGGTTCGGATGTAGTAGAGGGCCCCGGACAGGGGGACTCCTGTCGGGAGGGGTTCTCCAAGGGGGCACCACCAAGAGGTTGCGGAGGATCGCGAACCAAGGGCGTCTCGCCCCGAGGATGATGGAGGTGGAGAGAGGCATAAAGGAGCCCCTGGGGCCCAAGGCAACAGAGGGCATTGTGACTCCCCGCCCCTTGGGGGAGGGTATCCGGGGAAGAATCTCAGTGGTTGGGCGTTGAGAGAGGGTGCACAGGAATACACCATGGGGAGCCCGAAGATTGAGACTGTCTCCTTGAAAGGGAAGGGGTGGAGGGGCCCTTGTGTTTGGGCCAGAGTGGCCCTGCCGAACCAAGCTGCTTAGGAGTGTAATGTTCCCGATCTGTGACCTGCCCTGATGGAGGCCAGATTCGGTTCCGCCCAACGGCAAAGGCGTTCGGCTTCCCTCGTGAGCCTTGCTGACCGAGTGCCCTCTTGTATGGGGATATGTATCTTTGTGGTGTTGTCTGTGAGGACTATAACGAGAGGCTCGCGTACCTGGGGTAGGAAGCTGCGAAAGGCCAGGTGCACAGCGAGGATCTCCAGATAATCTATGGAGCGGGGTAGATCTGTTGCCGACCATTTGCCCTGAGGCAAGATGAGGAGGGCGAGAGCGCCCCAGCTGGGAGCCTCGCGACCGTGGTGACGGGTAGCCTGTCGGGTACCTTGAGGTAGTGACCCTTGTTGATGGCCGGCCCGGTCCCTCAAGGGAGGGACATGAGGACTTTTTGGTGGGACTCCGACCCGAAGTCGCGAGTTGGTCCTTTCTGAACGTTGGTACGACAGCAGAAATCATGTAGAGACGTTTGTTCCGGGTCTCGGCTAAGAATGGATCGAGAGCCGGTCCAAAGAGTTTTCCCCCAGAAATGGGGGCTGAGGCTAGCTTAGCCTTGTTTTTGACGTCCGCTTGCCAGTGGCGGAGCCAGAGCAGGCGGCGGGCGGTAACCTGGGACGAAATGGCCCTGGTAGAAAATTTTTGCAGCCTGGAAAGTGGCGTCCGCCGAGAACTCGGCCGCGGCTGTGAGCTTAGCGATGTCCTGCTGCGCTCTGAGGTTGGTTGCGGGGACATGCTATTTGAGCTGTCGAAGCCACTTGATAGAGGTTCTGATGAAAAAGGACGCGGCAGTGGAAGCTCTGACTGCCCAGGCGTCAGAAAGGTGAGCGCGGCGCAGGGCCAGCTCAGCTCGTTTGTCCTCGGGCTTGAGTGCCTCGAGGGCATCGCTAGGAGTTGAACGGGAAGCTAGGCCCACCATAGGCTCGTCCACAGGAGGGGGATCGAGCAAGAGGGAGAACTGCGGGTCAAGGTTGAAAAACCGCTTGTCCTGAGTGTTGGGAGGGGGAGGGGGCCCCGAGGAGGCTAGCTGCCTGGAGACCAGGTCGGAAAAGATAGGTGGGACAGGGATCACCTCAGTTTTCACCACAGGCTGGGAAAAGATAGAGTCGAGAGGTTCCCCCGAGGCCACTGGCTTAGGCAGAGTGGGAGGGGTCAGGCCAGAGGTATTCTTGGCCTTGAATAAAAGGGACCTAAACAGGTGCGGTTTAAACAGCCCCACAAATGCGGGCTGGTCCGGAGTGAAGCCCTCGTCCTCCAACATGTCCCCCTCCAGTGGGTCTGCTCCCGGGAAGAGCTCACTGCCCATGATGGACCCCAAATCGAGGTCTTCCTCGTCCCCAAAGAGGGAAAGTCCTCCGGGCTCCTGTGTTTCCATCTCCTCCATCCCCAAAGGCAAGGGCAAATCCCCGTGGGATGCTACCTGACCGTGCGAGACCGCTGATCCGGAGAGCGATCGAACAGATGGTACTTGAGCCTCAGGGGCCACAGGCCGTGGGGCCGGTCCGACCTTCTGCTGGAGCTCTTGCGCTATCACTTGCCGGATGGCCAGCTCCATCCATTGTTTCAGGTTCTCAGGGATCTCCACCGTGTGGGGTGGATGAAGCTCCTCCGGGCGCAGGCCTGCAGCAGTGGGAGTAATGGTGGCCTCAGGGGCCTGTATAGGCTGTGAGGAAGAGGAAGGAGCAGGGGAGGAGGGGAGAGGAGGGTGGGCGGAGGTTGAGGGAGTGGAGTTGGAAGGAGCCAGGGGCACAGAGCATAGCTCTCTGGACCGCCTGTCAATCTCCTTCTCAAGTGCCCTTTGCCGCCTGAGGGCATCCCTC